ACCTCCTGAGTCAGGATCTGTGTCTTATCACACGGCCCAGGTGAGCCTGCGCTCCTCCCGGTGCGACAGGCTCTGTGCCTGGTGGTTTATTGGCCGGCGGTGGCCCGCGTCCCTGGGATACAAGGTCCGGGAGGGCAGGGACTTCGTCCGATTTGGTTCTGAGCACCGTGGGTAAAGCAGGAGTTCAACAGACACCTGGTGAGTGAGTCGGGAGGAGAGCTCAGCCGCTAGCCGCCCGGACGGGCCTGTTCCCTGCTGCTCCCGCCACAGGCCGTGGAGCAGGGCCCTGACAGCTGCCCAGGCCGGCAGTGAGGCGGGACCAGGAGTCCTGGCCGACCCCAGCTTGAGTGCCTGTTCCCAAGGCCCCGACTTTCTCTGTCTTCACGGTCTCCGGGGAGGGCAGTTAGATCCTGACACCCCATGGACGCCCCTCCTGGAGGAGGGGTAGCGGCCTGAACCTCCTTGGTGCCCTGCGGATGCCCGCCTTGGACCTCTCCTGGAACTGAAAGAGTTGGAGACCATTTTGGTGCCTGCCCTTGCCAAACCCACAGCTGCCTGGAGTGAGAGGACGGAAGGGGCCGGAGAGGGTGGAAGCCGTGAAGGAAGGGATCCCCCTGCCCCCTGCGGCCTGGGAAGAGGTCAAAGTTGCCGGGCAGAGGGGTGTAAACGGTGGGTGGGCTGGCGATAATGGGGATGGAATTTCGCAGACCGTATGTGCCAGGAGGATGGTGGTTTCTGCCTGCCGGGGAGGCTGGCCCAGGCAGTGGAGGTTTCTGGAAGGTGGGGAGACGGTCCCGGAGAGAGCCCCTGTGATGGGAGCCCCGGGTCAGAGGTTTGGAGCACAACTTTTCCCCCAGTGAACTCTCTCTCGTGGTCAGGGGGAGGTCCGGGGGGCTTCGGGGGGGGCCAAACCGTAAAAGGTTAAGCAGGACGGTGGGTGCTGACCTCCTGGGGGAAACAGCCGTGCGCAGACAGAAAGGCATGCAACGCTATTTTCATTAAGGAATTTATTTCTCTTTAAAAAAAAAAAACAACAGTGGTTCGATCTAGATACAGCAGCACAGTGACCTATTAGACGGAACGTACAAAGATTCAGAGCAGCAGAACAAAAGCCGCCATCTTCAGGAATGACCTCCAAAATGGAACTATTTTCTTTCAGCATCAGTGTGAAAATTTCCCTGAAAAAAAAAAAAAATAGAAACCTTTGGATACTAGGATTATTACTGTAACACTACCAACAGCCACTAAGCTCTTCTACTTGAGAACATTTGCTTTTGATCTATTACAAAAATGACTTATTGACGGACTGGAGAAAGACCTCTAGATTCTTCTTTTAGGAAGTGTCTTTCCGTCCCGGGGAGAGCTAGCTTTTCAAGTGTTTGGACCACTGTCCGTGGCACGAGACCAGCGGAGAACCCGGCCACACGGAGCAGGCTCTAACCCGCACACTCCGGTCTTCCAAAGCCCACGGGCGAGGGGCTTCTGGGGGCGAGGCTGCCCTGTCCTGGTCCCTTGTGACAGAGAGAAGTGAACTCTCTGCCCGTCAGGACTCAACTCTGTTGCTTCAAAATGCACCGCGAGGTCACACTCCTCCTCGTTCCAACAGAGGCTGTGAAGTGAGGAGGTCCTGTCTCAGACGGTGGGGCTGGGAGGACAGGAGACCACGAGGTTGTCCTTGGACGGTGCAGGTGATCCGCAGGGACCTGGGAGCATGCAGCAGCCCAAGAGGAAGGCTGATGTCGCCCGAGTAGCCCTTCCTCTTCATCTGGGGTCAGGGGGAGGGTGGGAGCCTCCTGGTTGTCCGCGAGGCCACCAGTCCCTTTGGCCAAGCCTGGGATGCCAGGCACAAGGAGGCAGTGGTGCTCCCTCCAAAGTGAGGTCTGGGTCAGCAGCTCACTTGGGAGGGTCGGTGGGAAGCCGATGATGCCCCGAGCCTTCCAGGAACGGACGGGGTATAGAAGAGTGGCAAGGAGCTTTGAAGGCGGGCCGGGCTCCTTGGGGGGCATGGAGACCCTGGCCACTCTGAGGGCATGCCCTTCACGTCGTTGGGGCTCCCTGGGCTCGTGGGCAGCTGGCCACAGCCGGTCATGACTTTGATGCCAAGGCGGCGTCCACATGTGTCCCCAGAACGCCTGTGTCGCGGCAGGCTACTGTCAAGTGTGCATAAAACCCAGATACCCTGCTCTCTCCCACGCAGCTTGCCCCTCAAGACTGAGGATTTGCAAAGAGCAGCGCATTGCAGGGCACGAGCCTCTTGGGGCCTCTCGAGATGCAGGGGTGCTCAGCAGCTATGCCGGTGAGCAGTTCTCGAAAGTTTACGGTTTAAAGAGTGATTTTTCCCGGCCTAGGAAGAGTCGAGAATGGGTGACATGGGATGGGGAGGCCTTCCCCGTGAAGGCAGGGCTCAGGCGTAGGTGATATTGTAGGTGATCTTATGGGAGTGCCCCCACCCCCGGGGGGCTCTATAAACATTTGTCACGGTGCTCGTGGCGGAGATCACCCTGTCCCACTGGAGACAGCAGCTTGTCTCCTGAAAAGTGGAAGCAGAGATGTTTCTGTAGGGCCCTGCCTCTCCCCTCAAAGGCACAAGGTCAGCGAACGCCCGGTGAGGGAAATGTCACACTTGGAGAAAGAGAGGCCCTTCTGTGAAGAGCTCAAATGCTGAGGAGGAAAAAAAAAAATCCATTCACTGCCCAAACACGCCTCATCCCAGGCAAGAGGATGGGGAGAAAGGTGGGGTTTATTTGGTTGTTTTCCTAATTTAAAAATATCTTTTAAAAATGCAGCTATAGGAAACAAGTTAGAGGAGAAGCTGGGGGAGGGGCAGGACCTTGGGGGCCTCGGGGACTGGGGCACTTGGTGGAAAGGAGGCTGATTTTCAGGCATTGTTTTAAATAATGACTTCCCTTCTCTTGCAGGAAATGAAGGTCCAAAAGGAATGGGAGGGAACAGCGAGATGGTGGCTTCGGCACCCCAGCCTAGGGCATGTGCTGGGACGGGCCGCAAATGCAAAGGAAGACCCCTGTCATTTAAGAGGCTCACGAAGGCCTGTGCGTTAGCCTTGTTCCAGCTCCGGGATGCAGAAACACATGGAACAGTCTGATGTTTTCCTTCTTGCTCCTTGAGGATTCTGCGCTGCCAACGGCCAGCGTGGGGCTCAGAGGCGTGAAAAGAGACACTTCTCAACACCATTCGGTAAGTGCGCAGCTGCTGTGAGTTGGGCAAAAGGAAGGAGGGAGGGTGGGAGCTTGGGCTGGTGACTGTCCCAGGAAGATGACTGTCTTTTCCATCAAGAAAGGAGGGTCAGCAGGAGCTTGATCTTAAAATACTGGGCAAGGAGCTTTCCACTTTCTTGACAAAAACAAGTATGGCTGTTTGCGTTTCCCTCGTACGCAGTTCAGGAAAGGAAACAGAAGCAGCCTCGTGAGGCCAGAGCTGGTCTTGAAGAAACTAATTCTGCATGTTGGAAGGATCCTCGGGGAGCCCAGCTATTGTTTCTCTGCCGTGTGTTTGTCGAGTGACCTAAAACCGTCGGTCCCAAAGGCAGCCCCTCTCTGGTGGTGAGCTCCAGGCCCCAGTGGCCGCCTGAGGGAGGAGCACAGACACAGGACAGGAGGCTGCCACGCCGGCTACGCTCTCCTCCCTCAAAGCTTGTGCTCCAAGCTGCCCGGGTCACAGGAAGAAATCATTTTGGGAGAGTTGCGTCCAAAGCCCCAGTGAAGCTAAGGCAGCAGTGCCCTTCCTTGAGGGTATGTTAGAATGTTCTGGAGAGTTTCTTAAAGAGGCAGATTCCTGGGCCCTACTCCCAGAGAATCCATTCCATAGGTCTGGGGTGGAACCCAGGAATCGGCATTCTGACCAGAAATGCCAGTGCAAGTAGTGCAGGACCCACACTGGGAGGAGCCCTGGCAATGGCCGGGTAGCCGACACCAGGTCTGAGTGAGGCTGACTCGATTGCCAGGGACTCAGCCAGGCAGGGGAGCAGGGGTGTCAACCACTCCCCCTCCGCTAGGGCAGGGGAAGGTGACACTTTGTGGAGCCAACAGGCCAGTGGCTCCTTGGTGCTGGTTGGCCATGCTCCAAGGGCCTGGGAAGGCCACCAAGTCCTCCTGGGGGCTATTTACGCCTGAAGTTTTGAGATGCCCTGTTAGAGCTCGCCTTTGTCCCACCTCTCCCAAGAAATGACAGTGAGTGTGTCTTGGGCTTCTGTGGTATCCCAGCCCTCTCCTCAGCCACGCCATTGCTTGCAGAGCCAATCCCACCCATGCCACCTAGGCCAGGGAATCTGTGGGGCCTTGGGAAGCTCTCCAGACCCTGTGACCCTGTCAACGCCTAAGGAATGTGCTTGGAGTCCCTTGGCAAGCCTCCCTCCCCCTCTACGGACTCATTCAACAGGAACCCCCTGACCCCCTCTCACTGATGCCTCCCTGGGCCATGGGATTCAGGAGAGCTGGGGTTCCCTGACTACTCCTTGTCATCGAGATGCGTCCCTTTAAAAATAGAATAAAACAAAAATCCCCAAAAGTAAGCGTCTTGAAAACATACAGGTTTTAGCCATCAGAACCTGTTTGAAAGAAAGAAGCCCAGCTCTGTGCACCTTCCAGAAGGAAGAGGAGGCCAAGGCCGGAGAAACACAGGCACCGTGTGCCTCTAAAGGAAACATGAGCATTGGCCCCAGGTGACTCCAGAGACCCCACGGGGGACAGTCTGATGGGGCCGAAGTCCCCAGTGTGTCTGGAGCACCTAATTCAGGTTGTTCTAAGCCAACAGCATGGTGACATCAACGTGAGGGAAAGGTTACAGAGATGGATAAAACCAATCCTTTAAAGGTGGAATGTGAATCATTTTCTACATTTAATAAAAACATTTTCTCATTTGAGGCTCTGGAAGTCTTGAGTCACATTTTTTTTTGGTAACCCCTCCCCACCCTCCCGCCCTGCCCACTCTAAAATGTCTGAAAACACATGGCTTAACAGTGGCTGCACAGAAAATATACACCCTCCGAGTCTGACTTTCATTTAAATACAAATATACAAAATGTAAACTGAGACGATAGAGAAATTTACAAAACTTTTCTTTAAAAATAATAAAGACAAAATTCAGTTCTAGGTATGACGCTATCGAACTACGTGCAAGTTGTCGTATCCGGCTGGATTTCTATTGCAATGTTCCACGTCGGCTTGAGGGCCACCTCTGGAGACAGACCTGAGTGGAAATCTCTTTGAGAAACCTGGAGGCTCTGCGTCGAGGAGGTGGGCGGCCTCCTTCCCTGGCTCCTGGAGAGCTCCCCCCGTCCAACAGTTCTGCTTCTAAGGACAAGGGTCTAGGCTGGTCCCACCGCGGACTTCAAGGCCAGAGCTCCAACTAGCTGCTTCCAGTGGAGTTTGAACTGACATGGTTTGAATTTATGTGGTGGTTAAAACTGGTCTTGGGATTGGGTGAACTCTTGGAATTGTTTTGATGCTGGAGGAAAGAGCGAGTGGGGGGGGAGAGAGAGAGAGAGTCAGTCCTTTTGGATGCACAGGGGCCTCTGAATCTGAAAACAGGGTCATGGTCAGGGGCTGCTGCCTTGTGCCTTCTTCTACTGCAGACCCAAAGCCAGGGGCCACCCCTTGGGGCAGGGGGACAGCTATGGGATTAAGAGGACCCCAAGGCAGGGAGAGGGTGGACCCTCCTAGAATATCTATGGGTTCATTACTGTAGACCCAGGGTCTGAAACCTGCCGCTTAGCTGCGTGACCTTGAGCAAGTTACTCAATCTCTTGGCTGCCTTGCATGCCCTGTGGGATACGAGATGCTTCTGTACTGGGCTGGCGGAGTGTGACATGAGGCAGGGCACAGAAAGGGCTCAGCGAGCGCCGGACCCGAGAACCAGGAGCTGCAGGTTCTTACCTCCTGCTGGCCCTGGGCGCTGACCTTTCAGGAGGGCCCACAGAGGATGGGGTGGGTCAGCACGGCGCCACCCAAGTGGCAGGAAGTGGCAGGGCCAGATCTGAACCCCGGGTCTGTGAGTCTCAGTAGCAAGTACGTGGTAGGGACCCAGCCGTGTGGAAGGGGACAGTCCTTTCTTTGGGGAGCTTCAATTTTACTCAGTGGAAGCATTCAAAAGTTACGTTTTTATAGTCTACAGACAGGAGTCTGTTTTGGAATGGGATGTGAAACTCACATGACACTTTCAGATCAAACCCCAAACTTGCCCTCAGTCTGCCTTTTCTCTCCATGTGCCCGATCCCTGCCATTATCCCCAGATCCTTCATATGGGCTTACCAGCCCTGTGACCTTGGGCAAGTTCCTTGACACCCCTCAGCCTCAGTTTCCCTATCTGTGAAGTGGGGTAATAGGAGCCCATCCTGGGCTTGTGCTGCACTAGGACGCCCAAAGGGCAGGATCCCGGTCTGGCTTGCTGGTGCATCTCAGACCCTAAGGAAACAGCCTTGCACGCGGGGGGCACTTGCTCCATACTGGCTGATCGACTGGACGGCTGAATTAGGGCCCAGGCTTTTGTGGAGAGTAAGAGAAGCCCTCAGAAAGCACTTGGTGCACAGGGAGGTCCACAGCAGAGCGCCAGCAACAAGAGTGGGGGTGGGGGAGCTGGGGGCCTGGGGACCCGAGCTGCACTGCCTCTCCTCCTTCATCCTCCTGGGGAGAGGGTCAGCTCCTTGGGGGTTGGGGTTGGGGCGAGATGGGGGGGGGATGTAAATAATGGAGACTCCCAGGCGGTTGGATGGACATACTGGGGCCAAGCCTTCTTCAAGGCCCAGGCCAGGAGGGGGACGCTATTCTGGCCGCCTTGGGCAAGGGGGATGAGGTGAGGGCCTCAGTGGGCTCTCACGGGCCTGCGGGGACATTTCTTCGATCTGGCCTACGTGGAACCCTCAATCCAGGGACAGGCTCTGAGGAAGAATGCCTTTTCCCAAGCGGCAAAGTCTCCTGGGGCTGCCAGCTGGAGGCCACAGTGTCCACCCTGGGGGGTCCTGTCCCAGGAGCCATGAGGTTCTGCAGGGACCTCCTCTCCCAGACCTGTTCTGCCTGCTCGTTGTCACGGGCCATCATCACCTACAGAACTTGAGTCTTTACAAGGGCCGGATAGGGCAGTCAGTTCTCCGTCGGGGAGATTTCGCCCCCAGAGGACATGGGGCCAGGTCTGGAGACATTTCTGATTATTCGGGTTGGGGGGACGCTACTGGCACCTGGTGGGCACAGGCCACGGAGGCAGCCCCCACAACTGAGACGGCACCCTGGTCATCCGCAGTGCCGAAGGCCAGGCCCCTTGGTGAGCGGTGAGCTTTGGGCTGGCCCTGCCCCTTCCACCCCGCGGATCCCCTCACTGGGCGGGGCCCCACACGTAGGGAGAAGGCCACCGGTCCGGAGTCAGGGAGGTACCCGGGCCCAGGGTGTCCAGGGCCCGACGGCAGGCCAGCCGGGCGCGGAGGGGGCGGCTCTCACCTGACGCTTGAAGATTCTCTGGAGCAGCCCTTTCTTTGGCGGCTCTGGAGGGTGGCTTCTGTTCAGGTCCGCTGAGAGGGTACCGTTGGGTCCGAACACGTTCAACTCCTTAAAGCACTCGGTTTCTATCATCTGGGGAAGCAGGGGGAGGGCGCGTGAGGGGCCGCATTAGTCACCGGGGCTGGACGGGAGTCCCAGCGACCGCCATCAGCCCTGAGCCTGAGCCCAATAGGCCCTCCACCTGCCCCGCGTCCTTCAGGGGCCCGGGTCCAGGCCCAGACCTCTCCCTGCCTGCCACAGCCTGTGCCCTGTCGGCCTCCCCCAGCTGCCTCCACCGACGGGGGTGTGCTCACCGTCCAGCCGCCAAACCCATGCCTCATCTCCCTCTTCACCCCCTCCAAGCCCAGGTCACCCACATGCTCTGCGCCCTTCCCCTTGTCGGGTCCCCTCCCCCTCCCCTGCCCCATCACTTCCATCCCATGGAAGCACACGGGCTCCCCTCCGCTCCAGCCACAGTCCCTGTTCTCCTCTCTCCAGCCAGACCTCCCAAGACAGTCAGCTGGGCAGCCACGTCCATCCCGCCTCCTATCCCTCTTCCGAAGCCCACACCAACGGCGCCTTCGTCCAGGCCTTGTCCTCCCGGCCCAGTGGCCCCCTTCAGGGTGCTGACGGCCACCACCCTGCTCACCTCGCTCTGCCATGGGATAGGCACAGAGCCCGTGGAGAACTTGGAGTAGAAGTCATCGTCCGTGTGGTCCAGGTTGACACCTTTCACGGTGGAGAACTGCTCAATGTCCAGCACGTCCTTGCAGTACACGGCGCGGGGCTGTGGGCAGAGCACTCGCTTAGTCACATGAGGCTGCGCCCCACACCTGGTGGCCCCAGCCTCAGGTTCTGATGGGTAGCGGGGAGGGGGCGCCTTTCCCGGGACTGTGCTGCTCTCACAGATCTGCCAAGGGGCTCCTTCCCGCTGTCACCCGCATGCCGGCTGCTGGTCACCCCTCCCTCTAGACGGTGATGGAACACGGCTTCACATTCCTCCGCACCTCCGGGGATGCCCACTCCCCCAGCAGATTGTTTCCCCGGAGCCCACAGGCTCAGGATTTCCAGGCATCTCCATGGGAATGAGGGCAGCCACAACTGCGGCCTCTGGCCCATCCTCCACAGAGAGAAGGGATGCCGGGGGCTCAGGGCCACAGAGCCAGGTGGCCCAGGGAGGACCTCCCGCCCTTCTCACACCACTGGGCACCTGGGCTCTACAGCTGGACAGGCCTGGGCTGGGCTCCCAGCTGTGGTGCTTGGAAACTCTGGGAAAGTCACATACCCCCTTGTAGGCCTCAGTCTCCTCACCTGCAAAGTGGGGACAGTAGAGGCACCTATGCATGCGGCTGACGGCAGTGCCTGCCACGGAGCCAGGCCCCAGAACCCCGAGCTGCCGCTGTTACAGCACGCATACCCGCCATCCTCCCTCGCCCCCTGGCCCTGTCCTCCTGGAGCTTAAGGATTCATGCAGTCAAGGTCGTGAGTGGGTGCACAGGCTCAGCCTGGGCTTCGGGTGGGGGGTTACTCACGTCTGGGATGAAGGGAGGGTCCAACATCCCGGCTTCTAAGCGCTTGAAGTTCATGTTCCTGAAGAAGGGGTGTCTTTTGACCTCCGAAGCCCCCTCCTCCTGGCAGCCCAATCTCCGCTTTGCATCCTTGGTGAGCAGCTATGACAAGAGAGCCCGGAGAGGGTCATGCCTGGTGGGCCTTTCCTCCTGCTGAAGGCCACAAGGGGCTTGGGGCTTCGAGCACTGTGGCCATGTCTTTCACAAGTGTTCCCCCTCCAGCCTCTGCAGTGCCCACATCACTCCAGGCACCCAGGGTGGTCTCACACTGGCGCTGGGCTCGGGTGCCTGGGGCCTTCGGGACAGCAGGAGTCCCGTCCGCCCTCCCCAAGGTGGCATGCCCATCTCTGCAGGCCTCCCTGCTCGTTTACTCAATTCCTAAGTACTCTGCAGATGTGTTCTTGGTTGGCGCACACCACTGCGCCGGGAGGGAGGAGGGGCACCCATTAGGACAATACAGGGACGACACCACGGCGGCAGGGGAGCACAACCTGGCGGCCAGTTTGGGGGAGGGGGGCTGGCTGGAGGTTCCCTAGGGAAAGGGTGTTTGCAACAGGCTTCCCAGAGTGGAGAGGTGGGAAGGCATTAGGGGGAGGGTCTGCGCTAGCAAGGGCAGGGCAGGCTTGGGGAACATCGGCATTTGAGTCTGGGTGAAGGATGAGGATGTGGGGACGGATCAGGGCGAAGGGGGCGGGCTAGGGAGGCTGCTGGAGGGTCCTGAAGGCCAGGTCAGGAGGGTTTTGATCTGGAGGTAGTGGGGAGCGACGGACGGTCAGGGTGGAAGAGTGTCCTCGTCAGAACCAAGAGGTGGGAAGGTTCCTAGGAGAGGAGGAGGCTGCAGAAGCAACCAGCCAGGCCCCAGGCCTAAAGATGTGAATGAGGCTGGGAGGCTGGCAGGAGTGAAGGGGGGTGCTGGGGGTGCTGGGAAAGGGGTAAGATGGGGCTGGCTGTGATGCTGGGGGGCCACCAGCTGACCAGCAGGCATCCAGTGGTCAGGTGACCCTACCTGTGCTTCTCTCTTCCCTGCCCCACTGAGCATGGCCTGGTATGCTGTTGGAACTCCCTGCCTGCTTTGAGACTGAAATCAAGGCAGACGGCCTGCACCCCAGAGGGTTCCAGCCCTCTCCTCCTCTAGGACCCCGGCAACCGCTGCGTGCTTTCCGTCCACACGCATTTGCTGCCAGCCGTGTGGGCTGGGCTGTGGAGGACAGCCAGTGCGCAGGTGGGCCTCCCGGGGCTCGTGGTCCAGAGGGGGAGGCTTGCAGGAACCATTCCCCGGCCCCCCATTCCCCTTCAAACAAAGGAGTCAAAGGTGGCACGAGGGCAAGCACTAGGTCACAGCCTAGAAAGGATGGAGCCCTGAGAGCCGCTGTCAGCTGTGGTCCAGCGACCCCTCCCCGAAGGCCGGTTCTGCCCAGAGAGTGGTGGCTCGGGGCCTCAGCCTCTCTTCACCAGGGTTTCTTCCTTTCCACAAAGGCTCCAGGAATCAGCTCTGCTGGGCCAGGCTCCTCCTTGTTCTGGGAAATCCCAAAGAGGCGAGTCTCCTTGGGTAGAGGCTGGACCTCCCAGCTGTAGACCTCAGAGCCCGCACGGGTGAGCCAGACAGAAGACACAAATAAGGACGATAAAGGCCGAGTGGGCTGGGTGGGCTGTGCCAAGCTACCCATCAGTTCCTGCTAGGGCCCAGGGCTAAAAATCCAGGTTTTTAGGTGAAATCTCTCCAATTTTAAATCTTGGCAATGAACCCACTATTCACCTCTTTCTACAACACCATGTAGGCTGAACATCCACCAACACGCGGCCCGTTTGCAACTCTGGTATCAAGTGGACACCGGGAGAAGCAAGTGGGAGAGGTGCAGGGAGCTGGGCAAGTGGCACAGGCAGGGTGGGCTTCCTGGAGGAGGAGAAGGGATGGGCTGGAAGGCCAGTGAGGCTGAGATGGCGGAAGGGCCAGTGCTGGGACTCAGCAGGGATCTACAGGAGGTCTGGGCCTAGGGACTGGACCAAGGGCCAGGGCAGTGACACGCATGAATTTCTGGACATCAGCGACAATGGAAAGGATCTTGTGGCTGCCAAGATGGAATGGGGGAAGGAGCTGGCAGCCAGGGACCATCTTCCTTGCGGTCTGTGGAGTAGCCTTCTCAGACAGGCAGGGCTGGAGCTGCCAGAGTCTAGAAACTGTTCCATGCACCCCAAGCCTTCATGGTTTCCTCAGAGTCAGGCCCTGTCCTGAGCTGGCGCCTCCTGGATGGGACAGGGTCACCCTAGCTGCCAGACAGGCTGTGCTGAGGGGTGCCGGAAGCCCCAAGGCTAGAATCCTAAGACCTGATGGGCATTTGTAATAAGAGGAAGCAAGGCCAGGGGCCCTTGTCTGTTCTTCCAGCAGAGAAAGATGAGGGGACACTGGTTTGACACTTGAGACCCATGGGCCAAGGTCGGTCCAGAGCTTCAGGCTCAGCTCACCGCCTTTCCCTTGGTGGCCACCAGGGGGCAGAAGAGGGCCAGCAGTGCCCCTGGTCCTGGAGCCCCAAAGCTGGGCACCAAGGACGATGACAGCGCTTCAGGGAGGGGGCCCTCTCCAAGTCTCTGTCCTCTCTGCATGTCCCATGTCCTGCTGGGGCTGCTCTGCTTCTCTGAGTCGCCAACCCTGACCTGGGACATTTGGTGATGCTCTGACCATGGCTGATGACTTTCCTCTTCCCTCCTCCCAGTTTGGTCCCACTGGATAGACACCTTGCCTCCATAACCAAGTATTATTGGCAGCCCCTAACCCCACTTTTCAAACACCCTTAGGACCCCGAAATTCCACCTGACTTCTGCCTCACTCCTCCTGTCCCCCTCCCCGACTCTGGCTGCTGTGACTCCCTGGATTTCTGGGAGCCCTGTGCATGCGGGCAGGTGCCCAGCTGCAGGCCAGCCCCTGGCCCTGTGGTTTGGGTGGGTGTCTGCATGCACACGCGCCATCCCTCCTTAGGTCTCCCACACACCTAAGTGGCAGATCTAGGCTCTTCTCCTTTGGAAGTGGTCAAACGGTAGCTCTTGCCCCAAAGCCTTCTTCCCGCGGCTCTGACATCAGACCGAAGCCGGTAGGAGGAAGTGGTCAAGCAGCAGGTAGACGGCCCCAGGAGAGGGGCCTCCTCAGGGCAGGGAGCTACGGCACATGGTTCCTGGGCCACTAACAGGGCAGCCTTGGCTTTTCTGGAAACAGAAGCTTTGCTGCATTAATCAGCTCCTCAGGCCTGCTCTTCTCTATACTCCAGCTTTTTACGTCCAGGGGTCAGAGAGGAGGCAGAGGGCAGCCTCCAGCCTCAGCCCTGCTCATCTGCTGTTCTGGGGGCAGCAGTGCCCCAGGGAGAGGAAGTCCATGGGCTCATGAGTCCCCGGAGCTCAGGCCCTCCTGTCCCCACATGGCTGGCACTGGGGGGCAGTGGCCTACAGTGGGGGTAGAGCACACTGGGCCTGGCATCAGAGGAAGGAGGACCCCAAGCAGACACAGGCAGAACTTGGGAGCCTGAGAGCCAGGCGAGAATGGAATTGGGCCACCGCCCCCCCACCCCCGCCAAAGCCTCTGGCCACGAGTGGGCCCACCTGGGCTGAGGGGAAGGGCAGCAGGCCAGGGGTGCGCTCACTGCCAGCTTCGCTTCTGACGGCTCCTATCACTGCTTCCTCTAACCAGCACCCAGGGCCCTGCTATCTGGCCCTGACTGCCCAGCCTGTCTAAACATCACTCCCCACCTGCGCCCTCCCTGTGGACGGTCAAATCCCACTACCCATAGATTCCTGTGATGTGGGACCTAAGCCAGTGTGACCAGCATTCCAGGTAGTGGAAGGAAAACTCTGTTGTAAGATGTTCAAAGGCTGAAAACACCATCACCTCACCACCTGTGCTGCACCTGCTGGCCTTAGCCAGCGCCCAGGGATCCAGAGTTTGAGGCTGCAGGGGGCCAAGGTCAAGGGTACGGGATACCCCAAGACACCTTTCTGTCTTGGGGGACTTGGCTGCGATCACCTCCTTTCTCCTCCACGATGATTTCCCCCAACAAAGCTGGATGGAGGGTGTCTTATGCAGTTCCCCTCAGTCCCCTTCCCTTGTCATGGAGTCTCTCTGTGACAACCTCAGTCCACAACGCCACTACTCGCTCCTCTGGCCTGGGGGCTTCCCGACTTGTGCCCTAGTGTGTCCTGACCCTACCTGCTTCAGCCCTGTTTGCTGCTCTCAGCTGGGGCAGGAGGGGAGAGGCTACTAGACACCTGGCCCAGGGGGAGCGACTGGCTCACCAGGAGCTCACCATTTTGCAGATGGACTTGGCCTCCTCCGAGAACTTTTGGGAGTACACCTCCTCTGTCTCCAGGACCCGGCGGTCCACTTCCTCCCGCTTCACCTTCTCTTTGCGGCCCCGGAATGGTGACTGGCCCTCGATCATCTCGTAGATGAGGCAGCCCAGACCCCAGTAGTCGGGGTTCAGGCCGTATCTCTGGTTGTTCAGGACCTCCGGAGCTGCGGGCAGAGGAGTGGAGGCAGGAGGGGTAAGAGACAGCAGGTGGCAGGACAGAGTTGGGGCACAAGAGGCCAGGGCTGCCAGTCACACCGACGGAGCCTCAGGCCATCCTGCACCCAGCAGTGATGGTGCTGCTCACAGAAGGCCTGAAGCTTCATGGCAGGGACACGCTTGCCCCTGCTGACTCCTACTCGTCAACGGCCATAAACACCACCTCCTCCAAGGAGCCTGCCCTGACTGCTCTCCTCAGTGCTCCTGAAAGGCCTGGACTATGGCTTTAGAAGCCTGACCACAACAGACGGAAATGTCCCTCCCACTAGAATCCGAGCTGCCTTATTCACTGCTGTGTCCCAGCAAGGGGGGTGACACCTGACATGGAGTAGGTGCCACGGCCATATTTATTTCTAGAAACGAAGGTGTGTCCACCCAAAGTAAAGATGATTTTAAGTTTACCCAGAATTAAAACCACCTCTCGCTATGGCTTCCCTACTACTTCGATGAAAATATTCTGATTAACCATCCAAGTGTGAAAAAGATAAGCTTCGTGTCATCAGACACTCACAGACATTGAGAGGCAAAAGCCCATGAGCCTGTGAGCCTACACCAGAGGCCCTGCGGGTGGACGCAGGCAATGCCCCATGCGAAAGGAGACAGATGTAGGTGTCCACAAACACCGATTGCCGTGTCACCCGTCCAACCATCCACCCGTCCATCAGCAGTGGCATGGGGGTGCTCACAGCTGCGTATATGGAGGTACACCCCCCACAGGCTCCCAGATGACACACAATCTGAAAGGCATCTTCCGGCAGCAGAGACAACATACAGAATCAGCTGCAGGTGCCGTTGGCACGAGCCTGGCAGGGAATGACATCCTCAGCTCCCAGAGCTTTCTGGAGTCCCACTTTCTGGGGTGAGTGGGCGTATGTGTGTGAGACACCATGAGCAGGAGGCAGCCCAGGGATGTCCTTCACTGGGAGGGGGATTCCAGGGGACCAGAGGGAGCTCCGGGTCTCTTCCTGTAGCCCTCAGGATGATGGTCCGGGAGTAAGCGTGCGAGGTGAGGGGCTGGGGGCAGGTCAGGGAACCTAAGGCTGGTCTCTACTTAGCATCTTGCTTAGTGACATGGCAGGTGGCGCACTCCTTTCCGGGTATTTCTGAGTGACTCCCTTCCTCTCAGAGCCTCTCTGAGAGGCTGCCTGCCAGCTCACCAGCCCCCCACCTTGAGATCAGCCTCCCCTGAGCGGCGCAGTATGCCAGCACTGACCTCTGATGTGGAGAGTGGCTTGGCTTTGCGGTGCAGGCGGGGCTGGGATGAGGGGTTCAGAGCGCTCAGTTCAGGGAGGCTGAACCCTGGGCCCAACACGCCCCCACCCTGGCTAGGACCTCCCACTGCCCACTGTGCCTCTACCGCTGCTCAGAGTTGCACAAAGAGGCTGGCGGCCCAAGAGGTGGGCTTGGGGAGGGGCCACACCCACACTCACCCATGTAGCCGACGGTGCCCACGCGGCCACGGATCAGGTCTCCCTCAGGGATCTTCACAGCCAGACCCAGGTCCGAAATCCGGATGTGGCCTGAGTGAGGAGAGTAGCGTCAGCAGGTCCCTGGGCTGGCTGTGTGGACCGCTCTGGGCAGGGCCACACTCCCCCTGGGCAAGGCTCACGGATTCTCGAGTTTTTGTCAGTCTGCAAGGGGGGCATCCTCATCAGCCCCTCGGGGTGACCGCAGGCCCCTGGGAGAATCCAGGCATCAGAGCACGTGGGTCAGTCATTACTTTTCAGGAAGAAAACATAAACTAGGAAAGGATGGCTGGACTTGGCTGGACAATGGCCAACTACCTCATAAAATGCCCTTGTGGGCTTTTGGGAAAGCTGAGATCACCAAGTTTAACACGCCTTGGCCTGATTCTGGGATTGCTTCATGGGGAAAATGGGAGATTTTCCTGAAATTTTATGATTTGCCTAAGAGGAAACATTAGAAAGCAACTTGGGAAGCAACTCCCTGTCCTGTCTTGTTATCTTTGGAGAAACAGAGTGAAGTCGTCCAGGCCTTGGGAAGACTGAGAGATGGTACTGAGTCGGGGACTGACCCCCAAAGGCTGAGATGACACAGTGCTGAGACAGAGCTCTGTCTCGCTGCTGTCTTGTTCGGCAACCCACCCAGGCCAGGTCACGGCCACATCTGCCCCCTCTTCCTTGTCTATGCCTGCCAGGGCCCCATAGCCTGGACCCCAGCAAGGCCAAACATCAAGGACCCTCCCCACCAGGCCAGAGCTGTGTGGATTCCCTGGCTTAGCAGCCCCCAACAGAAGGTGGCGGGGGGAGAAGAGAACACACAGGTTCCAGCCATTGGGCTGCAGACCAGGTTCTGAGACCAGCAGGGAACAAGAACCCCAGTGTGCACTGGGCTCATCCAAGGCAGGCCCGGGGCCCTCTGCCCACTCCTCCACATGGTAGCACCACACTCAAACCTCCCTCCAGGTCACCAATGACCTGCCTCCCTTCCTCCCTCCCCTCTGCCTGGGACTGCCTGGTGTCTGGGGCATGCTATGGGGGGAGGCCCTGGTTTCTGGTCTCAGGTCCCTACTGATACTGCTGGGTGACCTTGGCAGGTTGGCTCCTCTAAGCTTTAATCCTGTCATCCGTCAAAGGGGCCCAGGGATGCTGGCCCTGCCCCCTCTGCAGATAGGGGAAGATCTAGTCAGGTAACAGGTGTGAACACCATTTCCCTGCTGTGCAAGGTTGAACAGCTGTGAGGGGTTACTGTAGTTGCTCTGGTTACCAGTGGGTGTGTACGTGTGTGCGCACACACATGCACACACAAGCAAAAAGCAATGGTCATGCACGAATAATACTGAACATGTCTAGAGCTGGTTGTAGCTGGTGAAAGTTTCCCTTCAAGTCATCCTGGAGCCTCACCACCGCCCCCGCCCTCTGAAGTGGGCAGAGCAGGGCCCACTGTTTCCAGGTCACAGGCGAGGAAGACAGGGTGCAGGGAAGTCATGTGGGAGTTAAGTACTTGCCCAGGACCTCTGAAATTCCAGACCCCTCGATCAGTACCCTCTTTCTCCCTGTCTCTCTCTTCCTCTCTTTTGGCTAACCCACACTACTTCTTCATCAAGGAGGAGCTTTTTCCATGCTCACTGCCTTCCTTACGCACCCGGGAGTGGGGGAAAGGGGTGGGTACTCCCTACTCCCCCTACTTGCCCACTGCCCTCCCACAGTCCCGGGGCTGTGCCTCTGAGAGGCTCTGCTGGAAGGCCCGCTGTTCCCTTTGGGCTGTGACGCTTATCTTGACTACACAGCAGGAAAGGGGTCTCCCAAGTTGCTCCCCAACTTACCATAATCATCGAGCAGGATATTTTCAGGTTTCAAATCTCTGAAAGAGAAGACGGCAAGCACGTGAGTGTGGGCATTCTGAGCATCAGGGCATGGCCACCTGGGTTGACCTCTTTCCGTGTCTCCTTCCTACCTCTTGGTTCATGCTGTCTGGTCTCTCTCTGGATCCAGGCAATCCTGGACTAATGTCCCTCCTCCCGCTATCTAGAACAAATGCCGCTGTTGCCAGGCATCTTCTCGACCCTGGCGATGACTGGGAAGGGGTCAGGCAAAGGCCTGCCCTGGCTCCCATCTGCACACTGATGGCCCCAGGGCGGAGCGTGGTTCTGGCTGGCATGGTGAGAGACCCCTCCAGGGCTGGGATCACCTGGAGGTCTCAGGATGCCCTGGGATGAAGGCAGAGCGAGGCCCGGGAATTAGCGAAGAGAAGTTACTGAGAACACAGTACCAGCTGCAGATCTGGGGCAGAGAATAGTCCAGGAGGGACCCCCTTTGGGAAGGAGACATCTGGAGCCTGGTACATCTCCCAGTCCAGCAGTGACACAAGCCTGGGAGAAAGCGCAGCGGCAAGGCACAGCTGTAGGCGTGCCCCTATCCTTCTGTCCCTGCTGTCTCTTCTCTTTGATGACATCATCACAGTTCATAAGATTGTGCGCCCCTCCTCCACGGAGGCTGGGAGGCAGCAGAAGTGTCTGGTTTTACTAGCAGCAGGTCCTCTCTGTGGGTAAAAGAACAGCCAGTGGGATAGCGTGTGCAACTCAGTTAAGCCATTAGCATCTGGATTGAGGATGCAATTCTCAACCAACAGGCTTTGCTTATTTAACTGATGGCAGCTGTCCTTGTGGGGAATGGTTACTGTGTTCAAATCCAGTGGAGCAGCCTCACTAGGTGATAATGGGTTTGTACATAGTTATTCATTACAAAATACTTTGCCACTGTTATTTAATTGGCATTCTGTTGATGTGCTAACAATTCCAAATAAGGGCAAGAGCCACCACCTGAGCAAGCCAGCAGCCGCAGGGTTGGAAAGATAGCTAGCAGGCTAGCAGGCACAGGCCAGAACCCAAACCTGCAGAGAGCCTGTGGCAGGCAGTGGAGGCCAGGGAGGCGCTATGGTTCTCTTCTTCCAGAGAATAAGGACTAGAACTTGGAGGCCCGCCTTTCTTTTTGTTTTAAGTGAAAAGCAATCAAGTGGGGAGTTCTCTTTTCAACCCATAGGGAATTTTTTCTCTTCTCACTTGAATGAAAACAGAACAAGAGCCTAAATGGAGAGATGGTGGGGGTGGTGCGGGGGAGGGGAGAGCCAGTCATCAAGGCCATTCCTTCTTGTTTTCAAAACTGTCTTGGACTTCCCAAGATCATCTTTGCCAAGAGCTCTGTAGCAAAGGTTTTCACGTTGGGGTGTGCATGCCTGCTGGGTCTGTGGGAACCACCCAGAGGGCTCCCGTGTGCTGCCATTTTCAAGAATACCGAAAGAAGAAAATTCAAGAATTTTCTGCCTTTCTAGATCCTCAAGACAAGAAAGCCCTGTCCCGGCATTCTCTGGGATCTCCGCTCCCACTTGCCCTTTCTCCGTGGAACCAACTCCAAGTGACAGAAGAAAAGCAGGGTCCTTCCCGCTCTGTGACCTTGGCGCCCTGCTCCATGGTGTGAAATCCCCCAGGATCCCAATTAGAAAAGGGTTCTACTAATAATCATTACAACGGCAACTCAGTGGACGTTATATTAACACTTACAGCCTGTGGTCAAAGGAAATTTAAAAAAATAAAATCTTATCTATCCCCATATCGCAGGGCTGCATGCTGATCAATGACAGACTTTTGGGGGGGGAAATGACATTATAATAACATTCGGTGAGGATGGAAAAAAGGATGATAGAGAATCCCTTGCCTTTGAAGAATTTTCACGCATTTTTACAATGCATACTGGTGGAAATCACTTTGCCACAGCGATCAGATTCTACTGAATATAAGTGTGATGGAACTGTTCAGTTTCAAAATACTAGCCCCTATTTTAACAGGCGATAAACTATTTCAGATGTTTCCGTAATGTATAAGGGCACACAGATTTTCAAATTTCCTGGAGAGGGTCAGTGAGGAAAGGCTGAAGACCACCCTCGTGGAACCCATCCAGCGGGATGGAGTGGGACCGACGTCCGTTCTGCTGCCTGCGCGTGTGCTGACCCCACCAAGGTCTTTCTGGAGCAGGCTTGCTGCGCTTCCCGCACGCTGGGCTGAAAGGGACATGGGGTTTGGCCCGACTCACCAATTCTGAGGGAACATCGCCTCCTACACTTGGCCCCCAAGCAGTCCAGGGTTTGAGTCTCTATGGCAATGGCCAGGCCCTGAGTCCCAGGGCGGGGTGCCCACCTGACCGAGGATGGGGTGGGTCTCCGGTGGCAGGACCGTGACAGGGAGCCGGCTCACCTGTACACCGTGTTCTCCCGGTGGAGGTCTTCCAAGCCACAGAGGATCTCTGCCGCATAAAACAAGGCTCGCTCCTCCTCGAAGCCAGGGTTACCCATGTTGTAGATGTGGAACTTGAGGTCACCCCCGTTCATGATGGTCAGAACCAAGCACAGTGCGTCCTTGGTTTCGTAGGCATAGGCCAGGTTGACCTGGGAGCACAAGACAGCACGAAGGTGAGGTCCCAGCGACTGCCACCCACTTCCGCTCATCCTCCTCAGGGTCTGTGAAGCCAGGGCGGGGGTGGGGGGAAGGGTGGGAGCGGGGTCCTCAGCAGCTCCATACCACTGCCCGGCACCCCACCAGCCTCATGGCGCCCCTGCCCACTGCCCCTCTTGCCTGAAGCAGGACACACGTCCAGATACTGTGGTTCTAGGTGAGGAGACAAAGTGGGGAGCGCAGGCTGGTACTCTGCCCTTTTAGAAAGCCCGACGGGATGGGGTCTGTGTGTTTATGCGGACAAAAAAGCCTGCATGTACTTCAGGGAAGACTGGGTGGCCTCGCTGGCCAGCCAAGAGAAGCAGGGCCCAGATGCCTTTTGGGCTGGGGTCTCATTACCACACGGACGCTGGGAGTGGGCTCGAGAGGTGGCTGGAGGGACTCTGTGAAGGGGAACACAGTTCGGCAAAGTCTGCCTCCTCCTGCACGCAGGACACATCTGGTCAAAGGGACCATTAACAGGAAGGACTTAGTTCCCTGCTGGTGGAGACCAGCTCAAGGATGCACGCGGGACCATGGGGTTGTGGGAGATGCAGCAGGGCTGGGTCTGAGGTAAAGTCTGCTGGTGGTACTTGTCTTTCTCCACATAGGGAGCCAGCCCAAATGAAATCTGGCTACTATGGACCAGGCTGGGCACAAGCAGGGCCATAAAACTTGGAGGCAAAGGCCAGGAACAACGGCAGTTATTTCTGAGGAAAGGACAGAACACGAGCTGAGCAGGAGGGCTCTGGGGACGGTGCTCAGTGCCAGCTGCCAGGCCGGCCCTCCCTCCCTCCCACACCTGCCCACAGAGACCTAGGAGGGGCTCCTGGAGGGCGCTGGGTGAACTCCCTGCTGGGGGCAGTGGACGGGGCCCAGTCGAGGGTGGTCCAGGCCCTCGAAGATGTGCCACCCCGTTTATCAGGCAGACCACCCTCTTCCCCTCTGAGTAGCACCCACTGTCACCAACCCTGGTGAGAGCCGGTGCTGCCCCTTCCTGCAATGATGAGGGCTCCACGGGCAGCATCGAGGGGGTGACCTGTGGTCCCCACTGAAAGGGGCTGGCAGCACAGAGGGAGGCTGGGGGCTGGGGGCAACCTGAGAGGAGACCCGGATGCATACTCCGGTCCGCTTTGAGTGTCCCCTTAGAAAACCACACCCTCTGGGGAATGACAAAAGCATTAGGCTGCCGGAGCCTCCAGCTCTCACACAGCTGGTGGGCGTTCGACCGGCACGACACTGACGACCCTGAGGGAGAGCCGTTCGGGAACTGCTACCAAATGGGAAATGCACACGGCCTCTGACGCCACAGTTCCTCCACCAGGAACCCATCCTACAGACACGCTCCTGGATATGTGCCAAAGGGATGTTCAAGGCTGGACGCGGCAGCCTCACTGGCAGTGTGACCTGCGCACAGGGACCCACGGGGGCCGGTTGTGCAGACGACGGGTTATCTCCGTGCTGCACGGCAGGGAGGGGGGTGCATAGCATCAAAAACAGAGCTACGGCTGTAGATTTGGCCACAGGAAGGGACCTCAATTCAAGGGGAGAGCGCTGCAGCTTAGGGCGTCTGGTAGGACTCCACTGGCTAAAAACCTCAGAAAGCCTCTTCGTGAATCCCCCATGCTCGGATGGTTACCCAAAGAGGGAGGCTTTTGTTTGTATCTCAGACCTCTCTGTGCTGTGGGAGTTTCACCCTGTACATGTTTTTTTATAGTGACATGTGGCAGAGGGATTGAGAGCTGACCAAACACCCACATGCTCTTCCACATTTCCCTGCAGCTGGCTGGGCCCTGGCAGTGACTAGTTCTGGCCCACGGGCTGTGGGCGGTGTGAGGAATGTCCCAGCGGCTGAGGCAGCGAGGGTCCCTGAACACACCCGCCAGCACACACTTGTAAGACTCTAGGTGGGGCAGCCGTAAGGTAGAGAAGGGCGGCTAGATGTGGCTGGTCTCTGTGTGCGTGACAATGGTCTTTCTTGTGTCCAGCTACTTGGGGCTGGGGGTGGTGTGTTACCGCAGCAGAACCCGGCCAAGACATGGTAACAAAATGAACACAAACAAGATGGCACCCCTCCAGGATATCGACACTCAGGTTTCCCCCATGGTGAAACCAGCCTACAGGGGTCTGTGGGAACACAGCTCCTTGGCTGGGCCCAGGGCAGGCTGCTTTTTCCACTGAGGAGTTTACAAGGTGGTTCTGGAGAACAGAGGCCTTGGTCCCACACACAGAGGGGAGCCAGGCCAGTTTTGAGTGACTGGAGCAAGTCAGCCATGGTTGGCCGTGGGGAGCCTTGTGATGGAGGGAAGGCCTGGTCGCCTTTCTGCTGCTTCATCCTCTCACTGCGGTCCACTTCCCTGTGGGCTGGGGACCTGCCACTCTGGAGGACCCCCCCTTCCCAAGGGGTGGGAGCCCTGGTCACTAGAAGGGTGGCCTGGCGCTGGGCCCTGGACACTCACCACGAAGCGGCTGTTGACCTTCTCTAGGATCTGCTTCTCGTTGAGCGCCATGGACTCCCCTTTCCTTTTCTTGATCCTCTTCTTCTCTAAGCGCTTGCAGGCATACATTTTCCCCGTGGCCCGAACCTGGCAGGCACAGACCTGAGAGGCAAGACAGAAGCCAAGGGTATGGGACAGGTGAAGGCCGACCCCAGGCTCCTCCAAGGCCAGGACACTGGGTCGGTAGGGCTGGGAAGTGACGTGCCAGAAGCCTGGCCAGAGCGTGCTCCCAGTCACAGGACCTACGGATGCCTGGCCTTGGGCCCACTGCTGCACCAGGCCCTGCCCTCAAGCACTGGCTTCAGTGTCCCTTGTTTCCCTCCCTCTAGCCTTCGGGAAATCCGAGCTTTTCAAGGTGCACAAGCAAACATTCATGCCGCTGTTTACATAACCGGCCAAAGCCTAAAGTGCTGTCCCTCTCTCAGAGGTAACTAGAGTTTCTCTGTCCCAAGCTTCCACCCAGATGTGGCCATTGCTAACTGGGGACTACACAGCACCAGCTGCTGGGAAGAGAGGCTTATTTGGGTGTGAGACCCCTAACAACCCTGACTTTATAATTCAGTGAAATAGGAGCCAAACCATTTGGGTTCTTGTCTTCTTGGTTCCACCCCTTTTTCGGTTGTGTGGCCTTGGCTGGGTCATCAACCATTCTGACCCTCAGTTTTCCTCATCTCTCAAATGGGCATACCAAGGCTTGCCTCACAGACTGGGACAATCAGATGACGTGCAACGGCACATATTCATGGCCGCATGGGGCCAAGCTTCCGGGGCCCCTCATGCCCTCACTCCTCCATCCAAAGACAGCCAAGAACGCCCCTTCTCCCTCCAGACGCCACCCTGAGGCTGGCTCCAAGCGCACTTCCATCCCACGGGCCCTGCGGCCAGCCTTTTCCCACCCCTGCAGCACCTCCTGTTCCCGGGCCCACGCCTCACCTTCCCTCCCCACCAGGGGGCGCAGGACACCTTAAGCCCATCCAGAAGGGACAGAAACAGGGACAGGCGTAGGGGAACTTCCCACTGAAGACACGGATGTTCACTCACCTCCCCAAAGCCCCCTTTGCCTAGTACTCGGTACTGCCTGAAGGTGTTTTTGGTTACCGGTTGCCTGGAAAAAAGCAAGAATCCAACACTGGTCTCATGGTGTTGAGATGCAGAATCCACAAGAAACAGACGACCGCAGCCCTACGTGCCCTCCAAATCATCGCCGCAGACGGGTCCCTCAAGGACTTGCTCTGGGCCTGGGTGTTCAAATCCCAGGCCACCCGCCCTCGGTCCCCTGCGACTTGGGACCCAAGCAATCCTCGCTCGCTCGCTCGCTTGCTTGGAGGGAAGAGCAGAGGCGTGAAGGGGCTGTTTCATGCACTTTCTCTCCAAATGAAAATGCGGTGGCTAAGCTCAGAAAGCAGCTGCGCTCTCTGCAGGGAGAAGGGAGGGGGCCAGGAGCCGCACAGTTCGGTGTCCCAGGGAGGACACAATAGCCCTCCCCACACCTGCACATCCGGTCCACCTGCCCACCTCTTGGCCCCAGGGGGAAAGGGTGCTGGTCACCTTTAATGCAGGTCTCCAGCCCTCCCTCCACTAAGGGCCCCTTCATTACAATTCCCCCCCAGCTCTGCAACACTAGAAGCTCCTGTCTGCCCAAAGCGCTATTTATGAAGTAATCATTGCTTTGTATCTCCTCGCCCCCATTTTTTTTTAAAGATTTTATTTATTTATTTGACACAGAGAGATCACAAGTAGGCAGAGAGGCAGGCAGAGAGAGAGGAGGAAGCAGGCTCCCTGCTGAGCAGAGAGCCCAATGTGGGACTCAATCCCAGGACCCTGGGATCATTACCTGAGCCGAAGGCAGAGGCTTAACCCACTGAGCCACCCAGGAGCCCCACTGGCCCCCATTTTAATTAGCTAAAGCCATTTATGTCTAATCAGACAGACCCTCTAATCCCAAAGCAAGGGTGGGACCTCACGGAGTGAACAAACGGCCATCTAAAATCGCCTTGAAGAACTCCAGGGTGCAGACAGCCTGGGCTTGGTCATCACCGGTCTGTTTGGCTGAAAATAGTCAGCTGCCCCCAACCCAGCTTCTCTGAGGTGTAACTGACAAATGGTACCCAACTGATGCTTTGATACAGGGACACACTGTGAAAGGATCACCACAATCAAGCTAACTGTCACCTCCCATGGTTACCATGTTCCCTCTTCCCTTCTCACTGGTAAGAACACTTAAGATCTCCTGTCTTAGCCAACTTCAAGATACAGGACCATGAAGAACTAGAGTCACGTCACTGTACGTCAGCTCTCCAGAGCTTATCCGTCTCCCAGAACTGAAACCTTGCATCCCTCGACCTCTATCTCCTATGACCTCCACCCTCCACCCCCGGCCCCTGGCAGTCACCAGCCGCTCTCTGCTCCTAGGACTGGGACATTATCTGAGATTCCACATCTAAGTGAGATCACGCAGGATCTGTCTGTGTCTGGCTTATGTCACTTAGCAAAACATCCTCCAGGTTCCTCAATGTTATCACAAATGGCAGGATTTCCTTTTTTCCGGCTCAGTAATATTCCGTTGTATGTATCTACCACGTTTTCCCTCCCACGCTCACTGCAGCATTACTCACAAGGGCTAAGAGATGGAAATGACCCAAGCATCCTTGGACCATGAACCGATAAAGAACAATCCGCGTTTAGGAGGTCAAACTTAGCTCTTGGACCTCCAGGACTATTTCTGAGCATCCCCCAACCCCACCACAGGGGCTGGACCAGGGCACACGCTAGAGTATGCGTGAGCTGCCCCACATAAGTGGGTCCGCTTGAGAAAGACCGTGGAGCCTCTGGTCACCCAGCAGCTCCTGAATGAACCCTCTGTTGCAACCCTTCTTGCCGCCGGGTCCCAAAGGTCCTCACGCCACACCTCTCACAGGACAGCCCCGAACCCCCCGCCCCTCGGTGGCTCTTTCTGGCAGGCCTGTCTCATGAGCCCTGACTCACTCTCTTCTGTTTCTTTGCCGGGGGGGGGGGGGGGGGTTCGACACATGGATTACATCCCCGCTGGGAGCACAGGGCCGCCCTCCAGTGGACACTCCAAGGCTCCGGGTCCTCCTGCCCACAAGCGGCCCACGACAGCAAAGCCTCCATGTGGCTGCATGGGCCATGCGGCCCTGGGCAGCGTCCCTACAGCCGCCCTCGAAACCACATGAAGGCGCCCGGGCCTAACAGTTTACGATACATGGAGAACAAACAGTCGGTCGGCGTTACCACAGAGCTCCTCTGCGAGGGGAAATGAGTGTAATACAGTCTCCGAGGAATTTCTCGGTTAACCTTGGGAGGGAGAAAATCCCTTTAATATTTCAACAGTACAGCATGAACAGGCCATGATCTTGTTAGCAAAAAAAAAAAAAAAAAAAAAAGGAAAGGGAGGAAATGGGGTGCTGTCAGTCATTTAGGGGCATTTCTAGGCCAGGCTCCTGCCCTAGTGGCTTCAACAACTTAATGCCCACAAAAGGGCCTAACTTCTTCAGAGTTAACACACAGATTTAAAAAGCCTGTTTCTCCATTTCAAGTAGCCAGGAGAGACAAGCAAAATCAAAGCCAATGGCCACATTCTATTGAACAGAGTGCTGGGTGGAGTAAGGGGGGAGGACTTGATCAAAGGGCCTTGGCTTCAGGTTCCAGCCTTGCCAGGCCCTTGCTGTGTGACCCAGGACCGATCGAGCAACCTCTCTGAGCCTTGTATCTTCAGTAAAACGACTCTGAAAAGGCATCTGTATCCCAAGGCTCTTTGTAAGCTGCTGTGTGAGTGTCAGATATCATTATTAGAACTCCAGGAACAAGGGCACATGGTGGCTCAGTTGGTTCAGCATCTGCTTTCGGCTCAGGTCATGGTCCCAAGGTCCTGGGATCAAGCCCTGTGTTGGGCTCCCTGCCCAGTGGGGAACCTGCTTCTCTCTCTCCCTCTGTTGCTCCCCCTGCTTGTATGTGCTCACGTGCTGTCAAATAAATAAAATTTAAAAAAAGAAAAAAAAAGAACTCTAGGAACAAAGGACACCTCCCTTCCGGAGTCTTCAGGGTAAGAGTCCCCACTGCGTGAAGCACCTCGCACAGGCACAGTGTATTCCGCACAACTGCATCAGGAGGTGGGACGGTCCCCACTGTGCAGGTGAGAGAATGTTTAGGCTCTGAGAGGGGACACGAGTTGCCCAAGGTCATGACGGTAAGTGGTGGCTCTGGGGCTGGGATCCCAGGAAGCCTGCTGCAGAGCCCACATCCAGTGTCTCAAGCCCACAGTGCCGCCCCAGGAAGGCGGGCAGAGGTCGCGGTGTGTGGCATACAGCCTGGGCTCGGGAGTGGGGGGCAGGGGGTGGCGAACACGTCCCCACCACACTGTCCTGTGATCATCAGGAACACAAGGGCCAGCTGTTCCTTCCCATACCAGACACTTGAGGGTGGCAGACACAGTGGCACTGATGATCTCACTGACAACCACGACAACTGTATCCTGCCTTTGACTTCCCGGGGCCAGATGGCTGACCTCTGCTGAACACTTGCCTTATTGTAGGCATGGACCACGCTTACCTCTGCTCGTCCGCACCCAGGCCTACGAAGGCACGCACTATTATGATCCCCATCTCACAGATAAGAAAACTGAAGCGGGGAGGGGTGAGCAGCCCTTGCTGAGGTCCCTGCGAAGGTAGAGCCAGGACGCAGACCCTGGCTGTGGACCCCAGGGCCCTCAGCAGGATGTCTGCCCTGACCCTCACCTCCTCGGCTCTCCTGGAGCCACTGTGCGCACGTGCAAGGGGGCCAGTGGCATCTAGTGGCCCCCAGAGAAGACTGACCCCTGCTCAACTGTCATTCCCACCAGTCGGGGTGGACAGAAACGAACCCCCCGTGGTACAGAGCTGGGTGTTTCCCTCTGGGCTTCCTGAAGTGGGCAGGGGAGAGCCGTGGATGGGCTCTTTGGGCAACTTGTCCTACAGCTTCCTATGCGTCTGCAGGGCACTCAGCCAGCAAAGGTGGCAACAGGCAGAAGCAAAATGGCTCCTGGCTCTCTGCCCAGAGGGTGCCCAGATGCCTGTGGGGGGCGGGCCTCAGGCACATGGACCCCTGGGCTGTGGAAGGGGATGCTCCTGCCCTTGTCTACCAGTGCAGCCCAGCACAGATCTAACGCAGGCAATGCCCTGTTCTGCCAATTCTGAACAGTGTGGTGGGCAGAGCCCTGTGCGGGGGTCCTGGGCCAGGGCCTCTCCCCAGCTGCCCTGCTGGCCTGCTGTGTGACCAGCCCACACCCTCTGTGTGGCTCTCCTTCCTCTTCAGTCACACAGAGGTCGAGTCACTGCCATGTCTGTGAGAGCACTTTGCAGAGAAAAGGCAGTAAACAAAACAGGAAAAGATGCTCAATTTTATCCATTATTAGAGATGAGAAGATAAACAAGAAGGAAAGCCTGCTGCTCACACGCCGGCCAGGAAAGCACGAGAACAGTGTGGGTGAGGCTGAGGGGAAGCAGGCACCGAGACATTGGCGGGACTGGAAACGGGGGACAGCTGTCTGGGAGGGTAGCTTAGCGGTCCCTCACGGTTTCACTTTGGCCGAAATTCCTCTGTGGGGATTTCTATGGATTTCTTCATGTACTTCTGAAAGCACATGAAGATGTATCTACCAAGCTATTCGTTATTTAGGGAAGATTGTACACAAAACTGAGAGCAACCTCTATGTCCATCCACAGGGGACTGAGCTAAACTCGTTCATGAGTCACTCTGCAACTCACTCGGATAACACAGCAGCTCTTTATCTGCGGACAGAGAGAGATTCCCCCAAACAGTGAACCAAACAAGTAAGGATAAGTACGTATGTATTTATGAGAGTGAGTGTGCGTGACCACTTTAATAAGCACAGAACATTTCTAGAAGAGCCAAGAACTTAATCAACAGGAGGATGGCTAATTTTACTTGAACCACGGAGCCACGGAGCTAGCCGATTTTTCTGAGCTCTCAGCTGGAAAGCCCGTCGCCCCCCATCCCGCGCGCACGCGGCACACACGTGCAGGGGGCTGTGCCGGGAGCACTCACCTTTCCAACCACTTCCACTGCAGAAAGCGATCAAAATACATGCTGTCCAGATACTCATGGAAGGGCTCTCCCTTCAGGTAGTCGTGGACAGACCTGGCTCGGAGGGAAGAAATGAACATTTTACAATCCTGGCCTGAAGCCGACGGGCAGAGCCATGGATACGTATCCGCAGGGTAACACCTTGCCTCAGAGGCCCATCTTCCTACCAGAGTGACCGCCTGATCCCGTGGGTACTTACTGGGGCCCCGCCACGGCACGGCTCTAGGCGCGGGCTAGAGCTGTGAGTGTGAGGTGGGTGTTGTGATGTGGGACAACCGTCAGAGAGAGGTCTACAGAAGCATGTTATCATGACAGAAAGTTAAGTGAGGCCCCTGGGGGGCTCATGAAGGGACTCTTGAGCTGCTGTGAGGACGAAGAATACTTAAGCGGGTGCAAGGGAGAGTGTGTGCAGGGGTGGGCAGAGTAGGGATGCAGCGTCTGGAGGGCCCAGGCTCTGGATTTGGTCCAGGACCAGAGAAGCCACTGGGAGCTTTCCATCGCCGCAGCAGAGTTGACCAGTCGCCTGCTGTGGTCCAGGCCCCTGGAAGCTGGCTGTGGTTAGGGGCAGATGGGCTTCTTTCCTTTAAAAAGCCATAATGCTGACCAACGCAGCCCAGGCACTTGGGATGTGTGGGTGGGGGTGGGGGAGCAGTAGGCACAGTGGGGGCCATGTTGGACCCGGTCTCCTGCCAAACATGAGGGCAGGGGCCAGTGTAGGAGACTGGGATGTCCATTCCCTCAGGGGCACAAGGACAGCCCAGGGGCTTCACCTGCTGTCAGATCTGACCCTCAGCCAGCTCCAGGAGGACAGCAACCAGGTTTATTTCTGCTTGTGTGTTGGGGGGGGGGTTCTCTCCTCAGCACCTAACAGGGCTAGGCCCCAAGCTGGCCCTCCCTCAATGTCCGTTCTCAACATGGGCTCCAGCTCTTCCCACAGGGCACAGGGACACTGGTTTTCATGTCCTCCCTGCCTGGCTGTCAAGCCCTGTGGAAGCCAAGCCTGGGTTCTTGCTACCATGGCAGGTGAAGCACCTGTCACGGTGCCAGGCACACAGCAAGCTCCCCACTGTCTGAGGGGCAAAGGCTGAATGGGGGCACACAGCAAGCCGTGCGGGGTGATCAGGCTGTGGAAGGTTTTTGGTGTGCCGGCACGTGTCAGCTTATGAGCCAGGGTACCTGGGTGGGCACAGGCACATGTGTGTGCCTACTGGCTCACGCCTTCACAGTATGTGTGCAAGGGACAGGTCAGGGCTTCCCTGGTGTCTGGCCAGCAGCACACCCACCGACTTGTGTCCTATTCCGTCAGGATGGCCGTATGGCCTGCAGACAAGGTAACAGGGTGCGGCTAAGGGGGCCTCCAGCCCCCTTCCTGCGGCAGCGCTACCTGGCTCTGGCTGCTGGAGGCAGTGGGGGGTGGGCGCTGGGAAGGACTCCCAAACCACCCAGACGGGGTCAAGTTTTTGCACATTCCTCTGTCTCAACAGCCTGGAGAGCCACTTGCTTTCAACGCCCTTTGAGGCAGATGTTTTGTTTGGACTTGGCCCTCTGGTATCTTTTCCGATGGTAAAAACTATACAAACAGCTGCTCGGCTTGGCTGGGGCCCCGGGCATGGCAGACCTGCCCTGGGGCCGGCGCTCCAGGTAGACGGTTGGGGTAGCCCCTCTCCAGGGCTGCGTGGAGGCCCGGCCTGGGCAGGGAGGGAGCACTTACTGTGCGCAGGCAGAGAAGAGTTCCTTGGAGGGCCTCTGTAGGAGCTTCTCCTCTGTCTGGGAGACCAGGTCCTGGCCAACCTGGGCAATGAAAACTGGGGACTGGAGGAAGAGAAGAGGACATGTCAGTGAGGGGCAGGCATGGGGCTCCTCCCCTCCCTCCTGCCTATTTCACTTGGGGCCCTGAGCCACATGCCACATTCAGGGGCACGCAAAGGTGGCTGGGGTGAAAGGCGGTGAATGAGCCTAGACTTAAGGCCAGGTTTCTGGCTCTGCCACTTTGAGTGTGTGTGACCTCGTGGAGGTCGCTAGGTTCCTCTGAGCCTTGTGGCCCTCATCTGTGGCACACTGAGAATGATGTCCCTGTGTCCTTGGCTTGGGGTCAGACCCAAACAAGATGTATGTATGGAACTGTCCCGCATGGACGGGTTGGTCAGTCAGCCCCTGGCAGCTTGCAGATGCCCCTTCCCAGGCTGGGCCTGTCGGCACAGAGGGCAAGGTGAACACCTGCCCAGCCTCAAGGTCCTGTATGAGAGGGTCTGGAAAGGGTGGAAGGGCCAGCAAAAGCACAGCTCAGCAGCGGGTGGGGGGTGGGTTTGCACTCTGTGGGCACAGCTTTAATAGGCTGCCCTGGGTGGTGGTGGCTCCCGTTCCTCCCTCCCTAAAAACCCGTATGAGCAAGACTGCAGAAAAGATGCTCGAAGTTGCAGAAGGAGCCCCCCCACCAAGAAACCGAAAGCCCAAGCACTGGTTCCCCCTCTGGGGTCACTGTGTGCCTCCATCTCTGCCTCCGTTACACGCAGAAGCTTCTGCGGGGATGGCTGGCTGCTGGGGTGGGGAGGTTGCTTCTAAGACTTGGGGAACTTTCTTGGGAACCTGGCAGCTGAATCTCTTGGGGTAACTCTGGGCTCTTTGAGAGCAATCAAATCCTAACACAAACCCAGAGGCCATGGGCAAATTTGCACCATGAGAGCCGACGGCCGGACAACCTCAGTTTGAAGGGCCCATGCCAGGCACAGAACGGAGTCCACGGTACGCACGGTAAGGAGCCACCTGAAGCTGTGCTTGGTGCCGGGATGTGACCTGAATCTGGGAGGAGTCAGCAAAGACCAAACACACATGCTGGGCGGGAAGTCATGGGGAGAAACCCCCAGTTCTTGGACCTCAGAAGAGGCAGCTGGGTTGCCCACCTGGACGCACTCCGCTGCACCCCTGTTTTGCCATCAGACGCCGCCCTGGGAAGACCCGCCCTTACCTGGAGCAGACCGAACCTGGCATCAGGCACGTTGCAGGGGTGTTAAAAGGTGAAGCCAGTGTGGCCCTGACTGAGCACTTTTTCTCCAGGAAGATGGGAAAGACAGAAATCAGGTAATACCCTCGAGGGAATCTCTCTGGCCTCTCCAGACTGCGTGTGGTCATGTATAAAAGGGGCCCACTGACAGACTTTAAACCAGCAAACTTCTTTTCTCCTCCTCCAGATGGACTTTATCTATAGACCCACTATTTAAAACCAACGGGTAGCCCAGGTTTGCCCCTGCCGAAGGCCAGCTGTGGTCTGGCACTGCGAGAAACCCCTTACATGCGCTACGTCATCTAACCTTCATCGTGGCTCCGCGAGGTGAAGATACTATAATGTTCACTTCACAGACGGGGAAACGGAGGTCCAAGAATTTCAGTCATTGGACACCAGGTTACCCAGCCAAGAAGTGGCAGACAGGGGACTGGAACACAGGTTGGAAGGGTGGGTCTGGAGGGAGTCTGGTTGAAGATGGTGGGGCGTCTGGGCCCCCTGTGCCCCTCTTACCCATTCCCCACCTCCCAGGAGCCCCTCAGGCCTCAAGGTGGGAAGGGCACAGTGCGGCCCTCCAGCAGAGGCAGCAAGAACTGAAATGGAAGACAACGTGGCTCAACGCCATGAGCCCCGCCACGCTCAGAGAGGGAGAGCATTACCGGGCAGGGTCATCTGGGAAAGGCTTCGTGGAGGACAGGATCAGAGCAAAGCGGAATCTGGGCTCAGACTTCCACCTCTCCTGGGCCTTCCCACGGAGGACTGTACTCTGCTTCCTCCCCAGCCAATGGGAGGGGCAGCCCAGGGTCTAGGGGGGATACAGCCGTGTGCATGGAGTCCCACTGCTCTCATGCTCCACGGTGGGTTGGCGGGAGGGCTCTGGGGATGCTGCCCACGGTCAAAGCCCTAATAGGACTTAATGAGCGGTTTGACGACCATGGGTTTAAATCAGTCCCTGGCTCAACATGAAGAGATGAAGTGATTCCAAGCAAACGCCCTTTCAAGTGACTCCAGAGAGCAGCGCCTCTGCCAGTAAGGGAATAAGAAGCTGTTGGCCCGTTTAAGTTAGGAATTGAAACCTGAACTTGCCAGGGGGGTGAGAGGAGCAGCTGCCCAAGGGGACATTTCCACGGGACATTTATGATTTGCATCCACGGAACTGGAAGGTATTGGTCTTTTCCCTCCAAGTCAGAGAAGTCAGTTTCCAAGGGAGACCCATGAAGGCGACTCTCCCTAGCCCGAGTCTAGCACATCATGGAAGATAAAGTGCCCCCAGACACTCAGCGTGCTCTGGGGTCCCAGCAGCCGCAGCCACTGCACACCATGCCTGTGGCTTGAATGCAGAATTCCAGTTTCAGATCTCATTCCAGGAAGCTAATCCCTTCTGGTCCCAGGAGGCCTGTGAGGTGGGCTAGGGAAGGGAGGGGTAACCTTGGGGCCAGGTGGGCTCTGGACAGGACTATCACGTGAGAGGGCTCAGGAATGCCAGGAGAACTGTGGTTAGCTCTGTGGCTCTTTCTAGCAGGAACTGTCCCTCTGGGGGGAAGCTGAGGGTCAGGGTGGGGAGAAGGCTGGGGACTGTCCTCCTCCATGTTAAAAACATACCCCTAATTTCTAATCAAACACAAAAAGCCCTAAGGCCCTTAGATATTGGCAGGGCTGAAAGTGGCCAGAACAGGTCTTGGTGGAGGTCTCTGCTACAAGTTGCCCTGGGGTCTGGGACCCTCTCAGGCCAGCAGTATTTTGAAGTGACACTTTATTTCTTTGGTCACCAGATGGTCTCAAGCAGCTCCAGCCAGCAGGCCTTGACTTTTAATACCACAGTGTGAATTTAGGCACCAAGTTTCCTCTGAAATGTGTGGAATTAGCTCTTGGTGGTACCGCTTCTGAGGACAGGAGGAAGAAATTGGGGACAGGGTTTCTCTGCTGGAGGCCATCACGAATGGCCTCCTGATGGTCTGGGGCATGGAAGCTCAGCAGCTGGCCAGCCTCCAGGACATCATATGCCCAGCCCAGCCCGAAAGTCCACTCTGATGACAAAATGACCCCCAGCTGCTCTTAAGGATTGCTCCGTGGCCAAGTTCCGGGACAGCTTAAGACAGCACGAAGCGTCTTGGGGACATGGCTGTGCTTACTAGGGGCTGCTGTCTCCCTTCTGGCCAGACTGACAAGAAAGAACCCCGCTTCCCTGAGGAGCTGTCGGCTGCAGGGAGCGTCTGTTGAGCCCCCGAAATCACACCCGGAGCAAGCGAACCTGCACCCTGCTCCCCTCTTTGGCTAAGGCTCCTCTCCACCGCTTCCCCCCAAAGTTGCTGGGGAACAGAGGGGGCAGTAACGCTCGGGGGTGCTTTGTCCACTCTGAGTCTGTGCCTTGGTACTCAACCAGGAAGCAGGTGATGACCCGCCGCACCCGAGGCTCTGCCCTGAGGGCACTCCGATGCCCTCCCTCACTGACTTCACCACCAGAGACAGGAAGCGCCAGGTCAGCGATAGCCCAGGCCCAGCTCTGCCTCCACGGCCCGGCAGCACGCCCACAAGGTGGCGCTACGGAGCCCCTCACAGCGCTTCATTGGGCACAATCCCCACAGGCGGCTCAGCCTCCTGGGCCCCGGGGTAGGGAGGCCAGATGGCACACCTGAAATAATTACCAAGTGATTCATCTCAGACTTGGGAGCGTGACCTTTGCAGTAACAGTTGAGGGGGAAAATGAGAAATCGGCCTGGGAGGGAGCCCTCGGGAAGGAAGGCGAGCGTGGGACCTTGAGGGAGAGGTCAGATTGACACAAGTGGAGGAGGCCACCATGGCACAGGCAAAGGCCAGGAGGCTGGAGAAAGCAGGGAGGGAGTGCGCAGAGAAAGGAGGACTCATCTAGAAGATGTTCAACAAGCAGCCGACACGGGTGCTGCCATCTGTGTGGCTGGTTCTCATGGACCTCTGCATCGTTTTAGCCCAAGGGTGGCATCGAGAGGGCGATGCTGCGTCTGGTCCCCAGGGCACTGTTGTCTCCCTCTGCACTGGGACGACGGGCAGTAGGAAGGGACGTCATTTCCTGCCTGAGTGAGGAACCCCACATGTCTGAAAACCTTGCTCCTGAAACATCTGCTGGCTTCAAAGTCTCTGGTTTAAAGACGTCAGACTGGAGAGGGAATCAGCTGTATGTGGCTGGTGTCTCTAGAGTCACCCGGGGATAGAGGCATGGGTGGGCTGTGAAAGGCTCTTCAGAACTACCTCCCACACCTCCTTAGTAGTGGTCAGTAATCCTGAAGCAAGTGCCTCTGGGGTCACCCTCAGAACCTTCTGGAAACACATACCCCTACACTTGTTCACAGATTCAGGACCCGAGGTGGAGCAGGAGGAAGAGATCACAGAGGGCTCAGCTGGTTCCAGTCACTCATGGCACAGATGGGTTACCTGAGAGAAAGGACCAAGAAGGGAAGGGACCCCTCCAAGGTCACTCTGTGGCCCATGGTGCAGCCAGGATTAACACCTGGAGAGGGTCCATGGCAGGGCTGAGCAGATTGGAGCTGCAATGGCCCTGAACCAGGTGTCCTTCCTAGGGGAAGGACATAGCTTTGGTCTCATTGGTCCCACTCAAATCCAGCTTGTGCCCACCTCACAGATGGGACATGCACATACAACAAGCCTAATCCTGGTATCTCTCCCACCCACCCCTCCACTCTGTCTCCACCTCACCACCTTGCATTCAAGAATTCTCTCCTCTCACCTGCTGCCACTTCCTCTTGCAGTGACACAATGGCCCCCAAGGGAGTTTTTCCATACCACACAGCACAGATGGTCTCCACTCCAAAGGACA